TTCTCAGTGAACTTCACTTCTTATTGTCTCTTAGGAATGCAAAGCAAACGTGTCCCAAAGCTTTAGGATCCCTGGATGAAGGTGTCATAAGAACATCATATTACTATCATGTGATGCTGTATTATGGGAGGAGGGTCATAGAATAGGTGGAAATTCACCTTTAGGGTACACTCCTTTAAACCAAACAGATAAAGAAAAATCTGTGTTCACAAAGATTAATGAGGTAGTGAATAGCCATTTGACAAAAACACTCAGCCTGGTCACCAAAAACTCGATTTACACATCACGTTTCAGAAAGTCGTCAGCCACGTAATATGGGGTCCACCTGTACTCACGTTGCTCAGCAAGTGATGAGAGTCTGGTCACCAGGTGCCAATCTGGGCTACACATGAACAGACATACTTTCTCCTCAAACTATTTAAATAAGATAATTTGGGCAGGATGAATATTTTTCCGGTTGCCTCTTAAGGAGATTTTCTTTCTGGTCCATCAAAAATTGATTAAATGTGACTCATTAATGCAGCTCCAAATGGAGCAGGGAACAAGAAACACCTTTCCGGTGTCCTAGTCACTGCTGTCTCCTAAATCTGACTCTCTGTTCCTTCATTTTAGCAAGAATTTTGCTGTTTTCCAGTTAATTAAAAACATTTAAAAGACAACTCCCTTAGTACCAGGCATATGATAGTAACTTAATATATGAATGTTGAATGAACATGAGGTTTCTTTCATTCCGTGCACCAAGATAATGTCTTATTATAAATGGTTTTGCCAAGCATGATAAACTATGAACTTTCATGAGTAACTAGAATATAAGCATTTGAATTCTTTTCAAAGGGCCTAGTACAGGACTCTCAACAGTACTCACACACACACGCACATGTGAATATGCGGGTGCAGGCACACACACACATATTCACAGGCTTATTAGCTATTGAGTTACCTTGGAGGGGAATTAAGGATGAACTACTGGATGCATTACTTTGGGTTTATCTATTTTGGGTCTGACTTTTCCATTGTCCCTGGAGAATATCAATGTTATTACAGGACCCCAAAGGAAGAAAAAAAACAGCCATGCTGATTCCAATGATTGGTGAGGATATTTGGTTTTATATAGTAGTTATAGTTGAATAATTGATTGGTCTATGGCTGCCAAATCCTAATAGACAGATTTTTGTCTAAAATCATCAATAAATTACACCAACACTATAATGCTAATGATTGAAAATATCCCCATCCTTCAGGTGGTTTTAGTTCTTATTTAAGTTGTCATTTGCCCTCAGCCTGATCTCTTTTGACATTGCCTATTCTCTTTTCAAAGCTATAGGCATCCTTACATTTTAATAATACACAAGGCAGTGAGAAACGAGGGTTCAAGGGTCAAGAGCAATGTAGGCTCGGCCACTGTGTGGGAAAAAATCTCCCAAGCCTCCTCCTGTGTCTCCTTTACTCTCACACTACTACCAACTCACACACTTCTGACATCAGATGTGGGGGTTTTCCCACACCAACCAATTCTCTGGGACACCAGCTGGGTGTCCTACAATTTAGCTTAATTCTGACTCTATCTACCTGGAGATAGCATCAGATTCCACAGCTTAATGGCTCAGTCCCACGAGAATGCCCCCCTACTTCAGATGCCAATTGCGAGTAGCAGGTCTCCAGCTTATCCACAACTTCTGTCCGACTTGGCTACAAATTGTAGGTTCCCATACCTCCTCCCCCTTGGATTTGATTATTTGCTTGAGTGGCTCACAGAACTCAGGGAAACACTTACTTATGTTTACCAGTTTATTAAAGGATGTGATAAAGGACACAGATGGACAGCCAGATGAAGAGATATATAGGGAGAGGTCTGGGAGGGTCCTGAACACAGGAGTTTCTGTTCCTATGGAGTTGAGATGTGTCACGTCCCCAACCCAGTACATGGATGTGTTCACCAACCTGGAAGCTCTCTGAAACCCATACTACTGGGATTTTAGGGAGGCTGCATCATGTAGGCGTGATCAATTATTAACTTAATTTCCAGCCCCTCTCCCTGCTCTGGAGCACTTATTAGATGTAAAATCTTTGGCCTGGTTATTCAGCCTCTCTGAATGTCACTTTCACTTTTCTCAGCTATAAAATGAAGATGATACTGCCAGCTGCTGACAAAGGTGGGTAGACAGCCTCACTTCCTTGTTCCACAGAGGTTGTAGCTAGGATTCTAGGCTAGGCATGTTGCATCAGGGTAGAAAGTCTAACCTCCGTGATATATCCCATTCATGAAGTGCACGCAGATACTGAAGGGCAAAGACTAATGGTAAGCATTTCAAACAAGGGTTGAAAGAATTTCCACTCTTGAAGGTCTTGTTTCCGATCTCCATTTTGTTGTCTTCTTTTGCACATTGTTGGCAATAAACGGCATATTTTTCAAATTCTATCCTATAATACAAAACTTAAGATTAAGCCTAAGAATAAGCTTAATTAAGACAACCTAATATATATATATGCAACCATTAAGAAATCTTTCCTTGATGTGCATTATTACAATGTTTTATGCTAATTTTGACAGTAATTTTTCTTTTTGAATGATAATGTTAAACTGCTGTAACTTTTCTTAAATTCCAGTTTCTTTACTTTTGCCACTGACTGAATCAAACATCCCCACAAAGCATAAAAAAAAAGAAGATAATAATAGTACACACCTCTTAGAGTTGCTATAGGGTTTAAATGAAATAATGTATGTAAAATATCTGGCACACAATAGACCTTAGAAAATCTTAGTTCCAGTCTCTCTTCTTTCTTAATAATCCAAACACTCATGCAGTGCCTATATAGAGTTGCTCCATAAAGTCAATTTAAGAATATTTGCCAAGTACCAAAAAAACACCTCACCGTAAGATTTATGAGGCCTTGTGTGATCTAACCCCTGCCTACCTCTGGCACTTAAATATATTGGCATCATTCTTCTTCAGACTTACCATTTTTCTTCCACTGCAGAGCCTTGTCAAATACCTTTCCCCTATCTAAATTCTAGAACATTCTCAACCCCTCCTTTCACCTGTATAGTCTCTATTCAATCTTCATCTATCGGTTTAAATGTCACTTTCTTAGCAGGACTTTCACTTACATCCCTCCTCAAGATTATGTCTCCTCTTCCACTCTTTCATAGTATCCAGAATTCTTTCTTTATAATAGTTATCACATTCTTAATTGTATATTGGTACATATTTGTTTATTATGTACGTAATTTTTTATGAATTGTGTCCCCCTAAAATTCAGATGTTGAAGCTTAATCCCCAGTACCTTAGAATGTGACAGTATTTGAAGATGATCCTTTTAAAGAAGTAATTAAGTTAATATGAGGCCATTAGGATGAGCCCTAATCCAGTCTGACTGGTGTCCTTAGAAGAAGAGGAGATGAGGACATATAGAGACTCCAGGGAGTACATGCACAGAGAAAAGGCCATGTGAAGACAGAGCAAGAAGACAGCCATCTGCAAGCCCAGGGAGAGGCCTCAGGAGAAACCAAACCTGCCAACACCTTCATCTTGGACTTCCAACCTCTAGAACTGTGAGAAAATTAATTTCTGTTGTTTAAGCAACCAGAGTTTTGTTACGCAGCTCTAGCAGAGTAATACATTGTTTAAGACCTATCTTCCTCCACTAAACTGTGAATCCATGTGGACGGAGAATGTCTATATTTCACCACTGAACTCTTGGCATATGGTTCAGTGCCTGGTTCCAAGAAAGAGCCAATATATTTTTGCTTAATTCATGAATTAATGAATAAGTGAATGAATGATTCAAGGCTATGTCAATTTTATGCTGAAAGCTCTCTATCTTCCAGATTCTTCAATGCTCTTCTCCTGTGCCATTAACAGCCGACATGTTGAGTAAGTATTTATTTGAGGAAGGCGGGAATATCCCAGAAAGCAAGAACCCAATAGTGTCACATTCTAGATCATTGAAAGTGTTCTGAAATGTGACTCCAATGCAGAATATTGGGAGCTTAAGAGTGAGAACCCCATGGGTGGTGCTCGGTGGTCTGCTACCCTTCCATGCGATGTGAGTGCCCACAACAGCAAGTGCAGACATTGATTGGCACTAAACTACAGAAATCCTACAGCTCCCCTCCAGGACCTTGAAATGATGCCTCAGAACTGGGAATTCAAACCTGATGTTGGGTCCCGAGAAGATGCTATGGCTTCAAAGAACCACCTGAGTGAGTTCCAGGTTCAGACTTCCCATATTACCAACACCAAGTGTCTCAAGTTAGTCTTTAGGGGTGCCAGTAAGCCAGATGCTATCCAGGTATTCATGAGCATTATCTAGATTGGTGCAAATTGACCCTTTAGAGAAGTCTAATGTCCCCATGGAATGTACCTGGAGTTACAGGGCCTCTGGGAGTCCACACATGTCTTGGGTGTATGGAGACTATGTGATTGCTGATTTGAGGGGAAAGAAGGTCCTTAACCCTCCTCAGCACTATCTCTTTCCATTATTGAGGTGGCTAAATGCCTAAAATCCTGTCACTAACGTGTCACTCTTTGGAATCAGCATTACTGCATCTGGTTACCTCTTTTAAAAAACGAACCCCTATGCCACCAATTGCTCCACATTTTTAGTCATTAACATCTTATTCTGAATTAGTTCACCCACTGTTTCCTCCAGGTGGGCTTGAGCTGGCTTGGGTCAGAAAGGGAGAAAGAGGACAAAGGCATCTATAGAGGAAATAGGTCTTGAATATAAATCCTGCCAACTTCACAGTTTTTCTAGGGCTCTGGCACCTTGACCTCAGGCCCTCCACATGCCTGGCTACACCATGAATCATGCACACTGGGATTTTTACTACTGCCATGGCAGCAAGGAAGGGGAATACCAAGCTGTGGCAGTTCTCTAGCTATAGAAGTTAAGAAGTAATAAAAAGGCATTCCCTTTCCACTGAACCTTTATACCGTGTTCCCCATATATGGGTCCATAAATGGTTAATCCACCTACACTGGCAGGAGAAGTTTTCTGCCTCCTATAAAGTTTGATTCCTGGAGGCAGATTTTTTTTTAAATCCATCAAGTGTCAGATAATTGGAAGGGTGGAGTAACGCCGTAAACCACGACACACCTTTGTCAGGACTTGTTTGGAAGCAAAGAACTGGAAGAAACAAGACGGAGAGAAGGAGAAGAGAGCATTTTTGAAAGATCACTCAGCTCTAACACACCTTGGCTGGGTCTGGATAAAAAAAGTGGATACTGCAAACGTCTAGAAGAAAACATCGGGGAAGAAAGAGAGAGGGGGATTTATTCAAAGTTGTTTCCAAGTCCTTCAAAATCTCAAACTAGGTAAGTAACAGGAAGGATCTGACCTTTCTCCCTTTCTCTGAGACTTTGATTTGAGGCTTGCCGTTGAGAACTTAAAGTTTGTTGAAGAAAATAAGATGAAGTTGTTTCGTTTCAAGGGTTCTGACTGAAGTGATTAATTGATCATAAATGATTACTTCGGTTTATGCATTCTGCTCAGGGTAGGTCTTTTAAAGAAACATGAAAGATTCATCAGACAGAAAGAGAAGAAAGAGGCCAGTTAAGATAAACTGGGCTCTAGCGGCCAGATTTATTTGGTATTATTTTCACTATTGTAAAATGGCTTGTGTTAATTTGTTTTATTTAGAAGATGATGAGTTTATAATTCCTTCTTTCTCAATCTTAATTTCTCTCTCTTTCTCTCTCGCTCTCCCTGTCCTTCTCTGTCCCTCTCTCCCCTTGACAGCAGGGAACAGCTCAGAGGGAAAGGTAAAGTGTAGGTTAGTGGGGGCTTCTAGAAACAGCCCCTGAGCACTAAGAACCGATGTGCTGCCCAGGCCTCTGTGCTGGCAGGTTCTGATTAAGCTCAAAGGGCTGAGCAAACATTGTCGTTTATTGTACTCTAAAATTACTACTGCTCCAATCTAAAGTAAAGTGGAGTATCTGAAATGACATAATCAATCCAGGAACTTCCTGGAGTCAAACTTGGAACAATAAAAGAAAAGAGAAAGAAAATTTTGTCTGTGTACACACTTTTACTGGCCAATTTGGGCCAAAAAAAAAATTATTTTGGGGTGAGAGTTACCAGTTTAGGTATCTCACTGGACCACATGAACTGCTCACTGACAAATTACCACTTCACTTTTGGAAGTGCAGGCAAAGCCTCTGGCCCATCACTTCCTCTGAGAAGCAGTTAAGCAGTAGCCAAATACTTGGATTTCTTATGTCCATCAATGGAGTGAGATTTTTAAAAGATAGTCATTTGAAAAGCAGAATTGTATCTCTTCGCCTCTGTATGCTCTCCCTTAGAGCTAAGGCACAGACCTAAGTCAGAACTAAACTAAAGCAGACATTCAGCTCCTGATGGGTGCCCGTCGGAGAATCAAAGAGGGCCTGCTTTACTCTCAGCCCCTTCAAAACACCCACAGACATCAGATCAGAGTTTACATGGGGACAGTGAGGCGAGGAGTCCTGCTTCAAACTTGGATAGAAACTCAGACTGGTGAAACTGATCCAACCTAAGAACTGACCACGTTCTTAGATTATGCCTGACCCAAAGAAACCTGTGTCTGCATGGTTTGGCTCATTTGCAGCAAGACTTAACCAAACATGGCTGGAAACCAGCAGCCTAATCACAAAGCTGGTGCCCGAGCTTCCCCACCCCCAAATTATGAAAATTGAGGATGCCAAAGGAAGCAAGGGGGCGAGCCCATGGCTGGGGTGTTGTAGAGACAAGAACCTCTGAGGCGATCAACCCTAGGGCGTTGGTGTTCCTGGCTGTCAAACTGTTTGGCCTTTCTGTACTAACAGATCAATAGCTAGCGGACGGTTTTCTCACATTTTGGCCTTTTTGTGGTTGTTTTGTTTTACAACGTAAAGTGTACAGAAATTGGAGTAATAGGAGCTGTAAAAATACTTGTGATCCCTTAGCCAAAGTATAGGAACATTTATTCCTAAAACAGACAATAGAGAGAAAAACACTGAGCTTCTCCACTCCCTTCTTTGTATCAAAGACCAAGTGTTTCATGAGTCAGTAGAACAGGATAAGGTCAATGTGATGGTGTACTACCGCTAACGGTGGTCTGCCCTTGTTTGTGGGAGTGTTACAGCACATCATCATTGGAATAGCTTTAGGTGGAGGTGACATCACTTAAATGAAGTGGGAAGGAAAAAAACTCATAAAAGTAGAAAACTGATTTTGAATTGTGTTTCTTGCATAAGAAAATGACACGGGATCATTTTTATATCTTCAAAAGAACATTTACCATGAAATAACCACGAAGCAGCCCCTTAGAATTATGGATGGAAATTAGCATAATATTGGAATTGAGAACTTGAGTGACTTGCTCGTTCTTAGTTCTAGTGATGTGGCCCAAACATCTAAGAAGTTAAAAATTATGCTATTTGACTGTGCTTGCATCAAGTAGTGTTTTTGAGAGAGCACACTGCGAGCACTGTTGGGAGTGGCAGGCTCGGGCATGTACCAGGCACGTAACGTCCCTTTCTCTAATGTTAGCTACACTTTTTAAACCATCGGCATTTAAAATGTTTCAAAAGGAAGTCCTGTGGGAATATCGTAGGATATCATGGGAATATTGGATGATCCAGTGCAGGTTTGTGCCTCAGCCACAGTTTTCCACTTGATAACTCACAGAAAGCTACCTCTTACATTTGGTTTAAAGGAATCCATCTCCCAACACATCCCTGCCACTTCAGACTACCCATGTGGGACAGAACTTTGGCAAAGTCAACAGAGCTCCATCCTGTACATTTCAGGCCCAAGAAATCTTTCTGTACGGCCATGGGACACAGCCATGGGCTTCAGGCTGAGAGAGAGGCAAGGCCCATCTACCTGCACCTACCCAGGGCACATTCTATCCCAGAGTACCTTTCCATGAGAAGCCCCCAGGCCCTGGAGGGGAGCATCTGATTTCTTAGCAGACTGTCTCCTCGTACCCTCTGGAAGTTAGGGAATCCTTGGCTTTTTGCGGCAGGTCTTGAGGCTCCGTCATTGGGACTTAAGGAAAAGATGGCAGGGGGCCTAGAAATGTCTCTTATTTTTCTGGGTACAGACAGAACAAGAAAACACATGCCAAGGGCCATCCCTGGTGGCCTAGTGGTTAAGTTCAGCACTCTCCACTTTGGCGGCCTGGGTTCCATTCCCAGGTGCAGACCTACACCACTCATCTGTCAGTGGCCATGCTGTGGCAGCGGCTCACATACAAAAGAAGATTGGCAGTGGATGTTAGCTCAGGGTGAATATTCCTCAGGAAAAAAAAAAGAAAACACATGCCGGGTTTGCTGCCTGGACACTGAGACTCTTACTAAACAGAGCTGTCATCAGTCTGCCTTAATGGCTATAAGTGCAATAAATCCAGCCAATCCCAAATTTATAGCTTCCGGCAGCAACTTTCAATTAAGAGTCAAAATAAGCAATAACTTGTGGGAAGCAAAAGTTTCCATGGATTGTTATAAACAGTTCCTTTCAAGATAATATTTCATATTAGTTCAGGTGCCATCCTAGGTGGCTCCCCACCTGCAGCCATGTGCATTTGAATGTTGAATCTTCAAAATGCCTCCTGGTCCACAGCTAATGACCAATTTGAAAAAAAAAAAAAAAGGTGGAGGGGGCAAATAATACTTAAACAAAGGATTTCAAAGAAGGTATCTGGTTGTATGTAGGTTTGCCTGACGTAAATCATACAGGTTATATAGCTGAAATGCAGACATAGTCACAGGCCAAGTTTGGCCTTCTAATGAGTCTGGACTCCCTTGTTAAATTGTTTATGGAGCCCCACCTCTTGGCTCTGAGAAACATACCTGCAAAGACCTTCTGTGGCTTCTCAGATCCAGCAAGGAGTTTTTCCATGATGGCTCATTCTTTGCCTAGAGCTGCATTTAAGAAACTCTGATGAGCAAGAAGTTGGCACATTCCACCAGGCCCTGAAGCTGCTTGTGCCGACCTTGGTTCATTCCACCAGGTAGTTGACCCAAGCTGGTCTCATGTGGTCTTGGTTTTCAGTGTGGAAGACACCCAAAGTGACTTTTGCCTTTGTTGACCCCTTCCTTCATTTAAAAAAAAAAAATTTTAATTATATTTTATAACTGCGTTGGAAGAATATAATTCAGGTTGGATTGCATTCATTTTTCCTTCTGATTTTAAAACTATTTTATTTCTTTTTTGTGTGTGTGTGAGGAAGATCAGCCCTGAGCTAACATCCATGCCAATCCTCCTGTTTTTGCTGAGGAAGACCGGCTCTGAGCTAACATCTATTGCCAATCCTCCTCCTTTGTTTTTCCCCAAAGTCCCAGTAGATAGTTGTATGTCATAGTTGCACATCCTTCTAGTTGCTGTATGTGGGACGCGGCCTCAGCACGGCCAGACAAGCGGTGTGTCAGTGCACGCCCGGGATCCAAACCCGGGCTGCCAGTAGCGGAGCGGGAGCACTTAACCGCTAAGCCACAGGGCCAGCCCCTTCCTTCTGATTTTAAAAAGAAATTAAAACCTTTTTGTGGTCCCCTAAAAATATGATGGGACTAGGCACTATGCCCATTGCGCCTAATGGATAAGTCAACCCTAAAGTCACCACGCAGGCAAAAAAGACTGAAAGGAGACATCTAGAGAGATCTTCAAGCAAGGGGCATCCTGGCCAGAAGTAGCTCACCCCAGAAGTCTAGAATCCAGGTTGAACTGCATCCAAAAGATAAACCAGGAGGAAAGGAAGGTTGAGGGGTGGTGGGGAGAGAACCACAGGGAAAGCCAGATTTCAAGTCCTTCCAGAACCTGAGACTGGGAACTACAGCCAAAAGAGCCCAGTTGGGACTGGGATCCTTGCTGTGCTCTCCTGTGTATTTAAGCCTGAACCCCGCACCCCAGACCCCCCATGTCAGCCCTGCTTCATTCCTTCAAGACACAGTGGACAGGATTGCAATGATTTTCCTTTCCAGAAGCAGAGTGAGAGTGAAGGGAGAACATAGAGAACATGTGCAAATATGTATTTTCCTATGTATTTCTGTAGAGTTTACATATATTTTCTTCCTATATTTTTCTTACTTATGTCTGCAAATAAGCATACAAGGTCTGGTTTGTTCCAAAGGGAAAGTTTCATATTGTGAAAAAGTGCAAAGTTCTATACGTATGACCATTATAATGATTTTTTTTCCTGATTTAAAACATCATTCTCACATCCAAACTCTAAATAATGAAGCATGAATATCTTATATCTGTCGAGCTCCATATAGAACACTGAATATTATGGGATACGTCAAAATGAATTAGCCGAAAGTGCTAAATTCTTTGACAGAAATCCTTCAGCTGTTTGTTACTTTGGCAAAGAATGGAGCTTTCGCAGTCAAAGGTCAGGGCACCCCATCTTCTGTTTAAGCCTGTTAACGCTCAGCAGGGAGCAGCCTGATCAATTAGATCCTGAAAAATAAGATCCCAGTACAAAGGAATAGAATCCGAAGTGGAACTATTAATTACTCTTTGTTATAACCGATACAAGAAGTGGGAGTGACTCATAAAAACTCTGCACAAGAAAGAATTATACTTTGAGTTCTAGGAATCAAGTTTTTGGTTCTCAGCTTGAGTAGTAGAGACCTACACTTACTAAGTGATGGTGAGAGGCATGGCTGTTTATGGTTTCTGGCTTTTTCCGCAGGTGGCTATGGTATGGATATAACCAAGAAAAACACAAGAGATGGCACTGAAGTCACTGAAAGATGTAAGAACATGATCTATATCATTATAAAAGTAGTAAAAAATTTGGAAACTGTAAATAATTCATTCTTAATTCCACCACAACTGTATCATTTTTTTTTAGTTTTTTCTTTTTTGCTTTTTTTCACTGTATTGTTCAAAATGTATTCCTAAATACACTATTCCTTCCAATAAGATGCCTTTTGTTGATTTTTGTTTTAACATACTTGTAATCAAAATGTGTTCTGCTTTTTCTTCAAAGATGAAAATTGCCATTTCAATGTATAGTTTTCATAACCAGCATTTTTTTTTTTTAAAGATTTTATTTATTCATTTTTTTCCCCCCAAAGCCCCAGTAGATAGTTGTATGTCATAGTTTCACATCCTTCTAGTTGCTGTATGTGGGACGCGGCCTCAGCATGGCCAGAGAAGCGGTGCGTCCGTGCGCGCCCGGGATCCGAACCCAGGCCGCCAGCAGCGGAGCGCGCACACTTAACCGCTAAGCCACGGAGCCGGCCCATAACCAGCATTTTTAATGGCTGCGTAATTTTCTGCTGAATGAATTTGCCTTGGTTTATTTAACCATTTCCCTTTTTAGGGATACAGAACAGCAGAAATCCAAAAGAATAATATCCCACTTATGGCAGGGGCAAAGTTAAAATGACACTGGTGCCATCCACACTGAAAATTGAAAACAGTCACATTTCCTTTGTGAAACTGCCCAAATGATAAATTCAGAGACATTTAAACTGTCCCCTTAGCAGCTCTAACTCTTTCACTTATCCTGTGACTTTCATATATCTCCAATAAAAAAATTCTAGCACCACAGACTCGGAAATTTAGGTTAAGAAATAATTTATTTTTATGTGTCAAAGAATCCCAAATGTCCATACAATGAGAGGTTTAATGAAAGCTCAAGGACTATTATTCAAATCAAGCTGCCATTTTAGTCTGAAAAACCATTTCATTGTATGCGTGGAATGCTGTTTCTGCTACATTCATAACCCCATGTTGCTGCTAGGACAACCAAACTCATTAGGAAAATGCAGTGTGAAGAGGGAGGGGCAAGGCGGCAGCAGTAAGCCTGGTGTGGGATGGAGCAGCTGCCAGCAGCACGGCTTAAAGTGGCACAAAATGATCCATACCATCCTCTTCCATCCTCTTATCCTTTTACCACCGGTACCTACAGGCACGTGTGCACGCATACCGTACATACACATACACCTGGGCATGTGCGCACACACACGAGAAGCATTTAAAGACCAGTGACGTCAGCTAGATAGGTACTTCTTTTGTGTGTGTGTGTGTGTGTGTGTGTGTGAGGAAGATCAGCCCTGAGCTAACATCCATGCTAATTCTCCTCTTTTTGCTGAGGAAGACCGGCCCTGAGCTAACATCTATTGCCAATCCTTCTCCTTTTTTTCCCTTTTTCTCCCCAAAGCCCCAGTAGATAGTTGTATGTCATAGGTTCACATCCTTCTAGTTGCTGTATGTGGGACTCGGCCTCGCATTGGACGGAGAAGTGGTGCCTCGGGGTGCGCCCGGGATCCGAACCCGGGCCGCCAGCATCAGAGCGCGCGCACTTAACCGCTAAGCCACGGAGCCG